TTAGGAGGTTTGGCATGCCTGCGTTATTTCAGTTGATGGATATTTTAACATACTGAGCCTGGATTTCTCAATCCATGCTTTCTACTCAGTGGTCAGCAAAGTCATGTGCATTTGAAAACACATTTGTCTCAGGTAGGGCTAGAATGTCTTTGGTTATTATTTGGGATTTAAGATGTTTTGCATTCCAGGGCTACACAGAGAATCCCTGTCTCGAAAAACCAACCAACCAAACAAACAAACAAAAAACAAAGATGTTTTGCATAAGACAATCTTCTAGACATCTAAGCTTACCTCTTGAGTGAATACTAATTTTTTTTTACACTTAGCATTTTTAAAAGGTTTGTTATTTTTTTATTATTTTTAAACTGTATATGTATGTGTATGTTTGTGTGTTTATGTTTGCATGTATATGTATGTGTATATACATGTTTGTATGTGTGTGTTTATGTATGTGTGTGTCAGGAATTTCCCTCTCCAATATATTTAAATATTTGTGCAGCAGGAGGCCTGTGATTGGACAGGGGAAAAGGGAGGCAGAGCTGAGAGTTGCAGAGACAGGGATGCAGGGGGAGAGAGGAGGAGGCGAAGATGGAGGTGGCCGTGAACCAACATGGCTTTAAGTGGCCATAGGTAGTTATGATAAAAGGTTAGGATAATTGGGATAGCTTGTCTAATCTGTGTGGGCATCTTGTGACTTGAGTATTTACTGACATATAAATCTGACTGATTAATTATAAACTTCAAGAGTTTTGTTTCTACTGAGTTGATGGGTGCTGTGGCAACTGACCATGGGGTGGACAGTCGTTGCATGGAGCTAGTGTGGCCACAAGGGGAGCCTGGAAGCTCCAGCCCTGCTGGAGAGCCTGCTGAGATGAGAACACCCGGCTGGGGCCAGGTAGCCTGCTGGTGTTGGGCATAGTGTGGGAACTTGGTGGTTCTATTTGGTTGCTAAATGTGGGACCGCCAGAGCTGAGAGTTGGCAGTAGAGCCGGGAAGCTTGCCAGTCGTCTTTCTTAATACCTCCTGCTACATATGTGTGCTTGTATGTGCATGTATATGTATGTGTATGTGTTTGTGTATGTATGTGTGTGTATATATATATGTATATATATGTGTGTGTGTGTGTGTGTTCGTGTGTTTGCATATGTGCATGTCTGTATGTGTGTGGTGTGTGTATGTGTGTTTATGTGTGCACGTATATGCATGTGTATATATGTGTGCTTGTATATGTGTGTGTTTGTGTATGTGTGTTTGTGTATGTATGTGTATATGTATATATTTGTGTTGTGTGTTTGTATATGTACATGTCTGTATGCATGTGTGTGTGAAAGTGCCCAAGGAGGACGAAGGACAGAGGCATCAGATCCCTCTGGAGTTGGAGGCAGTTGTGAGCCACCTGATGTGGGAATGGGGAATTGAACTCTGATCCTCTGGAAGAGCAGTATGTGTCCTTAATGTCTGAGTTACCTCTCCAGCCCCTTATATTATATTAAATTTTAAAAATTACCATTTTTAATACTCTCTATAATAATGTTTTTAATATCTGGAATTTAGCATATGATTTTTTAAAGGGCAACATCATTATAACTATATTATTATAAGATGGCATTATAATACCATCACGCCTGTGCTAAGTGACCATGATATCATGGGATCTGAATTCACAATTCTTTTTATATGTTGTTTCTCCTTTTCTGCCATTACACTGCCTGCTATCTCTTATTGTTTTTGTTTGTCTTCAAAATTATGTGTATGTAGAGAGTAGAGTGTGCACGGTGGTGAAATGCAGGGACCCAAGGAGAAAAAAGCTTCAGATGTCCCTGAAGCTAGATTTACATACAAGTGGTTGTGGGCCACCTGATGTGGGTGCTGGCATTCAAACTTGGGTCCTCTGAAAGAGCACCAAATGCTCTTAAGGCACAAACCGTTTCTAAAGCCTCCCTCATCTCACTGTTATATCTGCCTTGTTTGCTTTACTAGGCCCCCCTCCCCTGAATTTCTGCACAAAGTCAAGTTCCGTCTCCCTGGTCTAATACAAGCTCCAGCTTATCTGACCCGAAATCACTTGCGGCCAGGATGACCTTGTCATAGCAAAGCTCTCTGCCTGTCCTTTCCTTCAAACAATAGCACAAAACAAAAATGCTCTGGGTGGTTGTTCTGTCCAGAGAAGAGACTGTGGCAGCCACACTTCAGGTTTCAAAGAATGAGTTTACTAAGCATGAAGCAAGCAAAAGGAAAAGTAACTAGTTGGTTTCAACTCAGGTTGCAACAACCAAGCCAACGATGCCGAGCCGTCATCCTGGGTTTGACGCTGAGCTGTCATCCTGGGTTCCTGGGACAGATTTTCAGTCCCAGCCTGGGATTCTCTCCAGGGAAGAGTCTCTCTCTTTTTTTTGTTCCCAGCACAGGCATTTTAATACCAAGGGGTCAAGAATAGTAACTCCTATTGGAACTGTTTTGACTTCTAACTGTCCTTAAGAGCACAATGCTTTGAATACTATTGGCTGTTGAGTGTTTTCCCTTTTTCTGTTATGGTGCCCAAAACACAGTGTACCCCAGGAAGATACTCTAGTCTTGGAGGGCACCAGAAAAATATGCTTGAGTGTGAAACAAGGTAGCCCCTTCATCTCAAAATCCACTCTCAACAAGTGCCAACAGCACATGGAAATTAACCAATATAATCCACATTACCCTGGTTTTCTACTGCTGAACTGAATTGCAATTTTCTTTTCCTGTATCTATTACCCTCATTAGCACACCTACAATATTCTGTACCGAACACTTCCATTTGCCTCCCCGGCCCGGCTCTGTTCTCAGTGACCATACCTGGTCTCAGCCTATGAAAGGGTGCTTTTGCACTGAACATCACAGCCATAGTCCATAAGGCCTGGGTAGAAGTTTGCTTTATGGGAAGCTAGAGAACAGACTGGCAGCTTGCCAACATGAGGCAGGAGATCAGTTGAGCAGAGATGGTGATTTGTGACAGGAAGACTAACTGGAAATCTATCCTCCCCTTTGCCAGGCTCTAGCAGCATATGCCTGCCTCAGAACGATCCCTTACAGAAAGTTAGGAGTGGAATATGGTAATGCATCTGAGTATGGATGATCTACCAGCAGCTACACCCATCAAGAAAAATAATGCTCCCTTCCCCAGCAGACATCAACTGCCAATGGCTCCTTAGCTAGAGCTGGTGCTTCACAAGCCCTTCCTCCATCCGTGCTGAAATATTGAGTGACCTTTAGGACTTGACCTTGAGTAGGTCGAGTGCAGATGACCACAGCTGCGGTGGGTTCATGCGTATAATGGCTGTGTCTTGTCCAGAAGATGGCATCTCAGAGCACCTGCTCATGCTGCAACTCTAGCATTCCTACTGCCCTCTCTTTAATGATGCCCCTTGAGCCTCTCGAAGGGGTGGTAAAGACTTCTTGTTTAGAGTCAAGCACTCAACAGACACTTCTTCTTGGCATCTGGCTAGTTACCAGTTTTGGCATTTTTAACCGCTACCCACTGCAACTAACCTATGTGTATAATCTTGAATATTTAGAAGGCAGTTGACAACATGTCCATTTAGCAAAACAACAGCAGTAGGTCCCCCACTTGGTCCCATGAGCTCCCCAGCCACAGGCTTTGGATGGGGCTCACAGTTCCAGGCATTAACTCCTGTCTGCAGGATGGTCTTCAAATCCATCCAAAACAATTTGTGGTCCCTCTAACATTTATGCCAATTTTACTCTAGTTACATATATTGCCTAGCAGGTTGGTATCACAGCATACAGGGTTCTTTACTGGACAAACCCATTAATGATTAATTCCTCCCCCCACCCCTCAGCAGCCTAAGCAGTACCTTCTGGTACCACAAAAGCTAGCCCGAAAGGAGGAAATGTCCCACCCAGTTTCTTTTTATTTTTAAACAGTATATTTTCTTTTCTTTCTTTTTTTTTAAAAAATTTATTTATTTTATGTAATTGAGTACACTATGGTTGTCTTCAGACACACCAGAAGAGGGCATCAAATCTCATTACATATGGTTGTGAGCCACCATGTGGTTGCTAGAAATTGAACTCAGGACCTCTGAAAGAGCAGCCAGTGCTCTTAACCACTGAGCCATCTCGCCAGCCCCCCACCCAGTTTCAACTGGATTTCCCCATGCCTCAAAGCTATGAGACACAATCAGTTTTCATCACGAGATCGTTGGATGGTTAGATCTTACAGGAAGGGGAGGCAGGTGCAGGGGTTGCAGTGGAACTGTCCCTAAAGAGGCTCTTCCAGTGAACCTGACCACAGAGAACACATCAGCAAGGCTGCAGCTGAGGCTGGACCCGCCAGGACTGAGGAGAGGCAGGTGAACCCTGCCTGCCTCTGCAGAGTTGTTCTTCCTATGCCATAAGGCTTCTTCTCTGCCATGGCTGACTCTGCTCTCTCTCCTCGCTGCTCTCTTCCCATGGGGAGAATTTCAGGTCAACATGAGGCAGATGGTTTTGGACTTTTTCCCATTGCTTTTTGCAGCTATAGAAGGATTTGTCATTGTGTTTTTGCTACTACAACTGTCTGCCAAGACCCACATTCCTTCAAGACATTCTCAAGTGAGTTTTGACGTGGCAGGTCTTGCTGGGGACTTCATGGTTTGTGAGCATCCAGGCCCCCTTTTCCCCCATTGGGAGGCGAGAATTAGAGAGGAAGCCGGTGGGCAGGAGACATGGAATTTGGGGTGGAGACCAGGCCAATCATAAGAGGATTACATTCGATTTCTATGTGGAGGTCACAGCTTGGTCTTTGTTATGCTTTGCTGGGTTTATTTATACATTTTCATCTCTTTATTACTGTTGCTCCGCTCTCGGTGACACTCTGGCCTTGCTGAAGCAGAGTTTAAAAAAGGAAAACAGTAATTATTAACTACATTCTCAGATGCGGAGCCAGAATGACACAGAACAAAACCTCCCTTCTGGTTCCCACTCCCACGGCTTCACGGGGATCTGGAGTCCGCTCACACTTAGCAGGCTTCTTGAAATAGACAGGGCTTGTGTGCCTTTGAATCCACCCAGATCTCGCCTTTGCAGGGCCGTGTTCTGGCTTTTGCACTGTCTGCTTTTGTTCCTTACCTTTCACACGGTACTGGGCCCAGTTGGGAAGGGAGGAGGTGTAGGTTAAAACGTTTGACCTAAAGACAAATACTTTTTCTCAAATTCTTTTTTGTTTGTTTGTTTGTTTTTTTGTTTGTTTTTCGGGATAGAGTTTCTCTGTGGTGCCCTGGCTGTCTTGGAAGTCACTCTGTAGACCAGACTGGCCTCGAACTCAGAAATCCATCTGCCTCTGCCTCCCCAGTGTTGGAATTAAAGATGTGAGCTACCATTGGTCCACCCGAAGTCCAGAGATCTAACCCCAAGCTCTCAGGACACAGGCAGAGACTCCTTGCTGCAGTTACTGAGAGATTCAGAGCGACTTGGGTGAAGTCCATGGTGAGTATGATGTCCTGACCAACCCTCAGGAACATGGGAATAATATAATGTTGCTTCTGAGCCACAAGATAACAGGGGTTTGTTGTTGTAATAAACAAAATAGGGTTCTCTTTACTACTCACAGGGAAACAGTCCTTTGGGTAGCAACTTGTGGCACTTACGAAGATCTAGAAAGGTGTTTGTATCCTGTATTATCCTAAAAAGCATGGAAAGTATACATACACTGTAGTGTTATTTTCTGTTTTGTTTTGTTTTTAATTCAGCTCACAAGGATCCATCCATGTATGGGACTGGAAGTCAGGTCTTTTTTGTTTTTTTGGTTTTTTTTAAACATGATGCAGTGACATCCTTTCCGTATAGGACAATGGAAACCAGTGACTATAAGATGCACACATATGGGTTATTTTAAAAGGGGGAGGAGGCTGGAGAGATGGCTCAGTAGTTAATAACACTGACTGTTCTTGCAAAGGACCTAGGTTTGATTCCCAGCACCCACATGGTGGCTCACAACCATCTGGAACTCCAGTTCCGTGGGAGCCAATGCCCTCTTCTGACTTCTCTGATCACTGATCACATGTGGTGCACATCCAAACGTGTAAGTAAGAGGCTTACACACAAAGTACAAATGAACAAATCTCAAAAAAAATTTAAAAATGAGTTTGATAGGGGTGGATCTAGGAGGAGTTAGGGTGATGAATGTGGAGGGGGTGAATATGACCAAGAAGGCAAAATTCTTAAAATGTAATAAAAATATTTTAAATGGATGCTTATTTAAATATTTATTAATCCTCAAAGAATGCAGCTACACTTATCTGCCCCTTTCTGCTATAAAGCCTGTTTTTTTCCTGAGATATATATATATATATATGTATATATATATATATACATATATATATATGAATGAATATATGAATATATGATTATAAATATAAATTCATTACATTCACAGATTATATTTATTCATTAGTATATGGAAGAAATTAAAGACATTTTATTTGTTTGATTTTTTTATTGAGACAGTGGTTCTCTGTGTAGCACCGGCTGACCTGGATCTCACTATATAGACCAGGTTGGCCTTGAATTTACAGGTATCCGCTTGCCTCTGCTCCTGAGTGCTGGGATTAAAGGGTTGTGCCACCATCACCCAGCCAAGACATTTAAAACATCTATTTTTTTATTTTAATTAATTAATTCATTCATTCATTAATTGTGTGTGTATGTGTGTGTGTAGGTGCTCACAGAGGTCAGGGGTCTTCTTGGAGCTGAAGCTGGAATTACAGGTGGTTGTGAGTCACCTGACCCGGCTGGAGGGGGGTTAAATGAAGAGCAGAAGGACTCGTAACTGCTGAACATCTCTGCTGCCGCTAAGGACGCGTTCCAAGTCCTAAGAATGCATCGTGTTCTCCGTCGTGCCCTCTGCAGCGCTCAGCTACAGCTCTCCCTGCAGCTATGTCAGACCTCTATTCTCAGTGACTCGTTACTGAAACTGCAGCTTAGCTTGTAATATCCTTTTTACATTCACAGTTTCATGGTTTATACATTAAGGTCACAAATCACTTCACAACAGAGAGACACTCTGAAACACATCACCAGGCACTCTGTCATTGCGCAAACATTCTAGACCACACTTACACAAACATTCTATTGCACATCTAAGAACCGTCATGGTGCCTGAAGTAAGTCCTGCACAGAGATCTACTTTTCAAAAGCACATGGCTGTGTTTAATTACATCATGCAATTGTCATGTCAGGTATGACTGGCAAGAACAGATTTTAGGAAAGCCAACTTGGGGTCAGAGGGCAACCCAACAGGTAAAAGCAGAAGTGAGGTGTATGTAGAGAGCGTCCTCTCCAACATTGCTGGCTGTAGACATCCTGTGTGCAGTCCACAGAGGCCATGGAGACAAGAGGATGCCATGAGTCCTGGTCAGGGAAAAGATAGTAAAAAAGACTGTTTGTTCTGCACATTAACACTGCAAATGGTACAGAGGCATCATGCTTAGCATCTGGTGAAGGAATACCAAGTGCACATAGTGAAGGTCAAAGCAGGAAGACAAGTAAGCCTATGGAGACTTACCTAAACAACTCAGATCCAGTCATTGGATGGGGAAGGGCTGCTTGGTTAGGCAAGAACGTTGCTCACTAAGCCTGTCAGAGACATGGTCAAATATGTCATGATGGTGGTGGGAATTACTTCTGGATCGAGGCTGTTTTGTTGAGCATGGCTGTGATGGCATTATTCATGTACCTTTGTCAGTACTCTACGGAATGTGTAAGCGGCTTTTTCTAGTTTACTATATCCATAACCTAACTGTCTGGCATTCCTTCAATAAGATTTATACAGTGAAATGGAGATTTCTGATTTCTTTGGACTCAGTTGTGTTATGTGGTGTTTTTCTGGAAACTGTCTTATGAGAGGATGTTTTCCTGAAACAGATACTTGAGAGGAAGTGTGATGTTTATAAGTAGAACCCAACAGACAGCGAATGAGGCTGTAGCATTGGTTCACCTTGCAACACTTTGCTGGTCTTTGCTGATCTTCTCTTGCGGAAACTTCATAGAGGGAAATGTGCCAAAGAACTTCTTGCCATGAGTGTTTGACATTTGATGCTTTGGAGTGGACTGCTGCTATCCTGACAACGAAGATCGGAATAACCTCAAAGAACTACTTCTAACAGGTCCACATACCCCCTTGTTCTATTAACCATCTTTCTCCCCTAACTTTGGTTGATGGGCTAGAAGGGAGGTTGAAGTGCATATGAACCCTTATTAAAGTAGAGTTTGAAAAATCTAAGCCTACAATACTGTCTTTTTTTTTTTTTTACATAAACTGTGATTTTTTTTTTTTTGTTTTTTGTTTTTTTGGTTTTTCAAGACAGGGTTTCTCTGTGTAGCCCGGGATGGCCTGCAACTCACTCTGTAGACCAGGCTGGCCTCGAACTCAGAAATCCGCCTGCCTCTGCTTCCCAAGTGCTGGGATTAAAGGCGTGTGCCACCACTGCCCGGGTGATTTTTTTTTTTAACACTGACAATAACTTTATTTTCTAACTTGTACTCCCTTAGTATTTTCGTCGGACAACACAAGTTTTAGAACTGGATCACTTGGCCCCTTCTCTTCTTGTCACCCCCCCAGTTCAAAATGCTTGTACTTCTTAATGGCCAGCATTGTCTTGGATTTGGAGTTGGGCTCAACACACTCAAGCCTGTACACAATCTTCTTTGTGGTTTTCTTTCAGAAAATTGGTTTTGTCTGCTATCTTAGCTAGGGTTTTACTGCTATGACCAGACACCATGACCAAGGCAAGTCTTATAAGAACAAAATTAATTGGGGTTGGCTTACAGGTTTAGAGTTTCAATCCATAGCAGAAACATGGCAGCATCCAGGCAGGCATGGTGCAGGAGGAGCTGAGAGTTCTACCTCTTCATCTGAAGGCTGCTAGCAGAATATTGACTTCCAGGCAGCTAGGATGAGGGTCTTAAAGCCCCCACACACAGCGATACACCTACTCTAACAAGGCCACACCTTCTCCAACAGGGACACTCCTTCTAATAGTGCCACCCCCTAGACTGAGCATATGCAAACCATCATATCTGCCCACCATAGCCACTCTACTTGTGATTCTTGGGCATACAGGGAATCCTTGCTCTTCTTATATTAGGTCACATTGTGAAGCTGATGCGTGCCACATTTCTACAGAAAGTCCTTAAGGTTTTAGGTACGTTGACCATCTTTGCAGTAAAAGTATGTACGCAATGAAAATGAGAGACCTGGTGTCTGCAATCGCCACCTCAACTGTGCACGCACTGAACAGGAAAAGGAGACAGCGTGAATTGTTAATGGCATGGATGATTCTTGGGATACAGTTTAATTTTTTTAAAATTACTTTTACTTATTTACCTTGTGTGCATATGTGAGGGCTGGTCATAGGTACAACACAGAGAACATACCAGATACCAGAGGACAACTCACAGGAGTTGATTCTCCCCTTCTACCATGCAGCTTCCAGGGACTGAATGCAGGCTATCAGCTTTGTTGACACCCCTGTGATACAGTTTTCTCCCCTTTTATTGCTTTTTCACTTTTTGCTTTGTCTTAGTTTGGTTTTTTAAGACAGGGTTTTTCTGTGTGGCCCTGGTTGGCCTGGAACTTGCTCTGTAGACCAAACTGATTTCAAACTCACAGAGATACGCTTGCCTCTGCCTCTGAGATTAATGGCATGCTTGTTATGCCTGAGTTGTTTATGTATTTTTAGACAGAGGACAGAAATTAGTGGACTCTAACCGACCTGAGACTACTACAAAGATGTCTCAGGGAGTGGAACTTATAGATTAGCTTGGGAAGGCTTTGCATTTCAGTAGAGATTTCCTTACTGTTTGGATAAATTACAGCCATTCAGCCAATAATGGACATAGACAATCCCCACTCAGTCCTGACGCACTCCCAGCATTCCAGATGGGGCTCTGACAGATGAAGGTCATAACACAGAATGTCACCGGCAATGCTCAAGGGACTTGCAGAAGCAGACAAATCTGTACCAAGCTTACAGGAGGATGTGAGGCAGGGGAATGAAAGACATCATCATTGGCATGCTAGCATGGAGTGGATTCTAGCTGTGACCATGGAAGGACTGGCAGTTATCAATTGTTGGGAGAGAGAGGACAGGACAGAGTAGGAACATTACTCTATGCAACCCTCTGGTGAGGATTGTACACCTTGTAACACTGTTCAAAACCAACCCCTGTGCAATACTCAGAAGAAGCTTCTGTACAACATGGGCTCAAGCTTTCCTTCCTCCTGGACCACCTTGGCCTAGCCTGGAACTGCCTTAAGGAGCTGTGGCAGCCTCCCCAGGTACCCTCTCCACTTAGCCCATGGGCATCACTTGGCAACTTGCTGGAAATGTGGTCTGCAGAGTCAGAACACGCACCCTGGTAGAAACTAGCCCACTCCTGCTAAGGACCCACTTTGGGAGTAAAGTCAAGGTCTGTGGGTGCAAACTAGAGCAACCAACTTGGTAGTGTTCACCCAGGTCACCCATCCACAGAGGCTCAGTGACCAGGGTGCTGTCTGCCAGGTGTCTCAGTAACAGCCCCAGACCATTGTGGGTAGGCCAAATTTCAACAATAGCTTTCTTCTCCTTCTTCTTCTCCTTCTCCTTCTCCTTCTCCTTCTTCCTCTTCCTCTTCCTCCTCCTTCCCCTCCCTCTCCCCTCCCCCTCTTCATCTTCATCTTCCTCCTCCTTCTTTTTTTTTTTTCAAGCAGCCTACATCTTCTCAGTGGCCTTACAGGTGCAGAAACAAAGAGCTGAACTAATCTTTTCCTCTATGAGATGCTTCCATTGCTGGTCGGGAAGGCACTTTGATCTTATCAGAGAGCTGTCTACCCCAGAGCTGGATGGTTTTCTATTTCTTGTCATTGCAAAAGATACATTAAAAGACACTGTTTCACCCCTGTTTTCCAGATGAGGAATAGTTAATAGTTTATCTAACGGCACACAAATTAACAAGCAATCAGCTAGGATTTCTGACACACTTTGGTTGGCCTCCTTCCCTTGTGTTAAAAGCATCACCCACACAGAGGCAGAAGCAGGCCAAAATGGACAAGCAGAAATATACATTGTGGAGACAAACAGAAGGTGGCAGAAGATGACGCTAGAAGACTCGACATTGAGGAATATCCGAAGTCAGGATGCTCAACAGGCAGGCATAGGTGGCCAGTGGTGACTCCCTGGATTTAAGGGTGATGCATGCCTGTGTGGTTGGTGGCAACCTCCTGAGTTTGGGGGCTTATTTAAAGGTGGAAAAAATTGAGGCCTGTACTGACATGAGTCATCAATGGCCACAGATTCAAACCCAACTCTCTCTCTTTTCAACAGAATAAATTGTTCTCTTCCTTAGAACAAGTACAACTGGGCTCACCTGTTCCTTTCCCTCAGCTGCGTGTTTGAGGACTACCTTGACAGGTGATTCGAAACATTCTGCTTCTGGGGTGCAAGGCAGGCACACCCTACCTGCCTCTGGCCCACCCCCTGTGCTCATTTGGGAACACAGAGAGGCAGACATCACTGTCAGAATGAGGAAGGGGGTGGGACTAAGGATGTCTGACACCTAAATTACACTCACGCGTAAGTCAGAATAAGCCTTGTTGCAGCAGTCCGCGCTTAAACACAGGGCCTGTACACCACAGCATCTGCCACACCAGCTGGGATTAATATCAATAATTACAAAATAGAACAATGCTGTAATAAAAGATGTTTGAAACTTGCAAATTTTTTATTTCTAGAACTTTCCATATGACATTTTTAGACCATGGTTGACCAGACATAACTGAAATAGTGGCTAAGGGGCAGGGACTACTGCATATTTAAAACTAGTATTTCCTCCATGGTCACCATCACAAATTAGCTTTGGATACCCTGAGGAAAAGTTAACATGGCAGGCCTCCAATGCCTGTGGTGGGGAGCCTTTTTCTTCAGGTAGGGTGGTGATTTGAATATGTTTGGCCTATGGGAAGTGGCACTATCAGGAGGTGTGGCCTTGTTGGAGGAGGTGTGGCCTTGTTGAAAGAAGTGCCTTACTGTGGGGATGGGCTTTGGGGTCCTATGTTTAAGCTCTGCCCAGGGCAGAAGTGAGTTCCCTCCTGGCTGCCTTTGGATCAAGATGTAGATAGAACTCTCAGCTTCTTCTGCAGCACCATCTCTGCCTGCACGTTGTTGTCATGTTTCCCATGAGGATGATGATGAACTGAGCCTCTGAAACTGTAAGCCAGCCCCAACTGAACATTGTCCTTTATATAAAGTTGCTTCGGGCCATGTGTCTCTTCAGAGCAATGAAACCCTATGATCGGTGGTCAGATAGTATTCTAAAGAGTCAAATCTCCCACAGGTCTGTGTGTTGGCCAGGACTAGACCCATCTAACCATTCTTACATCAAATAACCATAGCCTGAAACTGTGGAAAGCAATGGTCCCAAGACACTGGTCTCTGGGACACTGCTGAACATAGAATGAGTAGTGGTTTTGTGTCCCAGGCTGTGCTCAGACCTGGCAGGACTCACTCCCTGTTGACAAGTTCAACTGTAGTGGGACAAATAGCAAGCTGACATTCTGGAAGACAGTCTGTTTATCCCCTAGGAGGTTCAAAGTAGAGGCCAGAGGAGATGAATGAGGCATGTCCTCAGAGCTGTACCAGGGTTTCTTTCTCTTTAAGGCAGAGCTTATGTTTCCACTTACTCGTTAATGGTTACTTGGAGCACTTAAGAATGTCCTTTTTGAATAATAATCTGACTGTATTCTCCCCTCCACCCCGCCCCCTGCACATGTCCAGATGGAGCAAGAAGGAAGGCCAGCATGTCCTTTTATGTGACTGCCTCCCTGCACTTCCTCTGCTCCCTTACTCAGAGCTCCTGCCCCTGGCTAGCCTCTCTCTCCCCACAGCCAAGCCTGGCAGTGATTCTCCTCTCTCTACCTGTCTAATTCATCCTACAAGTCTAACCCATATGAGGCCACTCAGGTCAGGAGTGCAGGTGTCTCTCGGGGTACTCTGTGTATCCACACTGCTTGGCTCATGGCTGTCGTTACACATCTGGATAATCTTGAGCCTTCATCGAAAGCTAGCCTAATGTTTAGGCTTTCTGTAAGCTTGGTCTTTGAGGGACGGGCACCAGACCACAGCTGCTGGATAGGTAGGTGTTAGACGAGGAAAGAATGTTGGGAATGGGTGTAGCCAGAGCTGAGGTTGGCTCTGTGTGAGGTATCACATGCCCTAACCCCATTCTCCTCTGCATCTTCCCATC